TTCAACTCCCAGAATTCCCCAGCCAACATGCTGGCTAGGGAATTCTGGGAGTTGAAGTCCGCACACTTTAAAGTTGCCAAGCTTGCAAAACACTGCTCTAGAGTGTCCTTGAATGGCAACATCTAAAACTCTGTGTTTGATATATAAGGTCTGTATCAAAAAACAGTGTTGCATGGTATTGGATTTCTCTGAAATTGTGCTACAGTTGTGCTTTCCTTTCTCCGTGCTGGGTCTAATGGCAGTCAGGACAGTCAATGCAAATCCTGTGATTACTTTATTTCTCTCTAGGCCTCCCCCATTGCTAAAATAATACTGTACATTGAAGCAACAACCACATCAGGGTTCTTTGCATTGCAAACCAACCATTTTTGTAACTTATGTACATTGTACCAAACAGAGAAAGGGAATCTCTAAGGCTCCAAAGGAGCTATTATATAAAAAGGAGACTGGGAAATAATTTGATTTGATTTTATCTGGTGATCTAAATGGCAGTTACTTTGTGAAAAGCTATTTTGTGCTGAATTTGAAAATGTTTTTGTTTCTGTGGGAGTGAATTCAGTTTGCATGGACTTCTTTGTTTACTTTCCACGGCAGCAGCCAAATGCCCTTTTGTAAATATGGTGATTCCAGGAGCAAGGGTGATATTCCATAGGATTAATATAAATAAACAAAAACAGCCTAAAACCCCATTTAGTACTTTTTATTTAGTATTAGTATAAAGTATCTTTTACCCAAGATAGATCAGATACATCAGACACATTTCTAGTGGAACTGTATTAGACTATTTTTGTCCTTTAAGTAGCAAACTTGTGTTCTTCTATCAGTTCCTCTTAAAACTGCCCTAGGAAAGAACATAAGAATTGGCCTGCTGGATCAGGTCAAGGCCCATCTTAATCAAGCATTTTGTTTCTTACAGTGACCAACCAGATCTTTCTAGGGTGCTTATAAGCAAGAGATGGAGACATCTTTTCCTGCCTGATGTTCTCTTGCAACTCTGGCCCAAAATCACTCAATGAATTTCCATGGCTGAGAGGGGTCTTGAACCTGGATCTCCCCAGTCCTAGTGCAACACTATAACCACCACACCATCCACAAGTCTTTGGCCATCCCCATATCTTTGTGGTAATGAATTACACAGGTTAGTTATGTGCTGGGAGAAGTATTTCCTTTTTCTCTGTTCAAATCTCCTGCCTGTAAGCTTCACTGAATGACCTAATGATCAGTCCTGATATTTTGAGAGGTTGAAAAATTCCCTGTCTGCACACTCTATGCTATGCATGAGTTTATATAACTCAATTATTTCCCTTTGTTATCATCTTTTTTCTAATCTAAATAGTCCCAAATAATCTAATCTTTCTTCTAAGGGAAGTGTTTGAGCCCCCTGGTCTTTTGGTTGCCCTCATTTATACCTTTTTCAACTCTGTTCTATCCTTTTTCCAATGTGGCAACCAGTTTTTCCTTAACACAGTGAGAACTGGAGAAAGGGAGAGCTTTCATTACTCAAGGACCCCTAGGAGCTTTGATAGGTCTGCTAATATTTTAATTAGGTCAGTGTGCCAATTGTTGAGCAGAGTGCAGCAATACTCCTGTTGTGCAGAGCGCAGCAATACTTCCAGGAAAGTGTGCCCAGGAAAAATACACATCAGCATGAAAGATTTACAAAATGCAATGTCCATATCTTGTTCTCCAAAGAAATCCAGCCAGAAAATATATACTAACTGGTGTTTAGAAATCCAGCCAGAAAATATATACTAACTGGTGTTTAGAAATCCAGCCAGAAAATATATACTAACTGGTGTTTAGAAATCCAGCCAGAAAATATATACTAACTGGTGTTTATTGATAAAAAACACAAAACTCCATAAAATACAAGTTTCATACAAAATATAGGAAAAAACACATCTTCTCATGTATTTTAGCATCCAAGACTTATCTGCTACACAAGTTTAACAAAGTCTCTAGCCAAAAACTCTCAGAGAAGAGGTACACTACTTGGTTATTAGTTACAACTACATAACCCATAAAAACTGACTACGTGGTGGCTAAAACTCTACTGAGAGGCTAGACGTATAATCCTCCCATTATATTGCCAGTATATACCCCCCCACTGGGTAACTAGCATACACACACCAATAGGTGGCAGTAAATAGCAGTATACGTGCAAACTAAAACACTAAACTAAGTCACACGGTTTACTTAGCCATAACAATACTGTTTTGCAGATGACGAGATGAATCCTTCCCATGAGA